GGAAAGAGTAGAATAAGTCATAGAATAGAATAATAAATTAAGTCATTGAATAGAATAATAAATTTGAGTGACAACTCAAAATGTCTACACTATTGATTAAAAAAAAAAAGATCCAAAATTAATTATGGTCACAGTAACGGCAAATCTAAAAGAGATACCACAATGCCAGTCCCATCCACAGCCCAGACTGAAGGACAAAAAGCTACATTTGTGTCACATCCTCTCCCCATTTGGACACAGAACACATTTAATAAGTAGTCAGGCTATATACCTTGAACTTTTTTTATTTATGTACTGGCTACCACCCCTCAAAAGGGTAGCTGGATATTTCAAATTCTCTTTTTAAAGTATTTGATACCTAAAGACATCTATATCAAGAGAACCAAAGGCAATGTGCTACCACAAAGTGATGACCCCCAACCATGTATAAGTCAAATTTATGAGGAAGCAGATTTTTAATGATGGTGCTGTGGGATGGCTTCTGTAACAATATTCAGGTTCATGGTGTTTGAATAAAGAATTGAATGAAAGATGCCAATCATGAAAGAGAAAGGTAGTTTATTAAGTAGAAGTGAAAGTATGCTTCTGAAAGGTAAGAGTGGCCTGAGCAGACAGAGGGAGTGACTCAAAAGGTCCCAGTAGTTGTATTCTCCAAGGTTTATGATTTTCCAATCTAGATCATGTAGGTTGATCATTGACTGGCCCCACTGATTATTCATCTCATTGGCTCTATCAAATGTGGCTTACTCAGCTAGACACCCCCAGCCTACATGACCTTGGGCAGGGAATTTTCTACCCTGATTGGTTTTCTATGTAGACACATGGAAAGATTCTCCAGCCCCCTTACCTGCTTCTGTTTCTAGCTTTATCCCGCCTCAGTGGGAAACTCCTTTGACAGAGGGATAGAAAGAAGCAGACAGCTGAAGCACAGAATAACCACAGTAATAGCAGTGCTTTACAGGAAAGATGCAGAAATTCCTGATCTTAAGGTCCTGAGAATCTCCTTAAATTCAATAATTATGGACTTCCTTTCATCCTCAATTCCATTAAACCCAGAGCATTGAGATTAAGTAAATGGAAAGAAAGCAAAAGGAGAAGCCAGGACAGCCCATGCCCAAGTTATTGTTCATCAGTAGAATTGATGTGCATCGATTTACACACATTACTGGAGTTAATTATTAGAAATTTGGCATATCTTGCATTCTTTCTAAGTTTGAAACACCAGGACTTGGTTTGCCTTATGAATCATAGAATCTATAAAATCAAAATTTCCAGGTAGCCCCAAAAGTTTCTGTTGAAGTCCTAAGACTAGAAGGAACACAATATTTTATAAACAAGTCCTTAAACTTGACAAAGACAGTGCCACCACTTAGAAGGTTAGAACTCATATGGAACGTGCAGCTTTTGTTCCCTGGGCCAATTCAGCCTGTAATCCTAGCTAATTTGGAAACTGGAGCCAGATAATTATGATACAGCAAACCTTGTCAAAAATATCTGTATCTGTTCCTCCCCTCCTCTCTCTCTCTCTCTCTCTCTCTCTCTCTCTCTCTCTCTCTCTCTCTCTCTCTTTCCTCTGTACTCCCCTCTCTCCCCTTTCTTTCTCTTTAAGAAAAATAAATTAATTAAAACCTGACTCCAACCAGCCTTCCAGTGAGTCTTGGGATCCCATATAGCAGCCTCTACCAGCACTCTTCAGAGACATCATCCTGGAGAACAGATCCCAGAGCAATTGGTAACTGCTAATGGTATGCACTCTACTGTAAAAAAAAAAAAAAAAAAAAAAAAAAAAAAAGAAGAAGAAGAAGAATCAATCAACCTGGTTTCTATAGAAAATTTGTTCTATCAAGTACTATAAACTCCCTTTCCATGAACTATCTCTAGAGCACAGAGGCTAAAATTAAAGTAAAAGGCTTATGATCAAGAAGGACAAGCATAGGATAGTAAAATAAGCAATGTCTCAAAGATTTAACACAATGACTTGAACTGAGGCCTCTGTACTTGCAATTTATTCATTAACAATTCACCTTAACTTCCTGAAATGTGATAACACATTTCAAGAGTGAAGCTCATCATAGATATCCCATGGTTATTGGGAGAAATCATTAAGTTCAATACAGGATAGTCTCTATAAATCTAAAGATTTCCTCCGGAAGACTTTTTCTCATGGGCCCTCAAGAAAAGATATTCAAGACAAGCAGTGAATCAGTTCATAGGAAAGCAAACATAGATTATGAAAGGACTCACAGGAACTGTTAAAATAACTGGGTGTGGGGCCAGCAGGTGGCATGGTGGTTAAGGGTGCTGGACTCCCACATGGCGACCAAGGTTCAAGTCCTGGACTTGGTGGCTTGCTTTCTACTTTCCCTCTCTCTCTCTCTCTCGCTCTCACTCTGTCCATATCTGGTCAAATTAAAATAAATAAATAAACAAATAAAGTTAAATAAAATAATTCTTAAAAAAATAATAACTGGGTATGTTTGACTTGGAGAAGAGAGACTAGATAAAAGTGACATTACCACTATCTATCTTGGAAGAAAGTGGCTTAACTAACATGCAAAAACAAGCATAATAATGTCAATGTGTAGAAGGTACAAAAAGAGCAATTCTCAATAAGCATAATATCCTCATTCATAATGGATTAACAGGGGAACCTGCACCTGATAAGTTTGGAGGCTTCATTCACAGTCTATGAGAATAACCTTGCCTGGAATTGCACAGGTACAGCCTACATAGCCACATAAGACATTGATGGTGTACATCTGGGATAGATGATAATGTACTGGGGATATTTTATGTTGGTCCCTTACAGTGTTGATAGTTTAGGTTCTTTAATCTTCAAGAAAGTTCCATGAAGTAAGCAAGTGAATTTTAAGAAATACTGGCCTAAGGTCCAACTTCAGGAGGACTACAAAGATAGGTTAAAACTCTCCATAATAACTTCAAGTTGTAGGTTCTTAAGATAGTAAATATTTTCTTTTATCTCTGAGCAGAGAATATCCGAGATCATTCACCTAACATCTGACACTGAAGAAAGCAATATCGTTCAGTTCTGAGTCTCTCATTCCATTCTTCTCTTCAGGCCAATAAGATACATTGAACCTATGGCCAGAAGAAATCTGACCACTGTAACAGAGTTCATTCTTGTTGGCTTCACAGATCACCCTGAACTGATGATTCCTCTTTTCCTGGTGTTTCTCAGTTTCTATCTCATCACTCTTCTAGGAAATGTGGGGCTAATTATTCTAATTCAAGTGGATGCTCAACTCCACACCCCTATGTACTTCTTTCTGAGCCACCTTGCTCTTCTGGATGCCTGCTATGCTTCAGTAATCACTCCTCAGATCCTGGCTACATTGGCCACAGGCAAGACAGTCATCTCCTATGGCCGCTGTGCTGCCCAGTTCTTTTTCTTTACCATCTGTGCAGGCACAGAGTGTTACCTGTTGGCCGTGATGGCCTATGACCGCTTTGTTGCCATTAGCAATCCATTGAGATACAACATGGCTATGACACCAGGCACCTGCAGGGGCTTGTTGGCTGGGGTCTACATCTGTGGGGTGTCAGGGGCCATTCTGCGTACCACATGCACTTTCACCCTTTTCTTCTGTGATGACAATCAGATCAACTTCTTCTTCTGTGACCTCCCGCCCCTGCTGAAGCTTGCCTGCAGCAGCATGACACAAAGTGAGATTGCCATCCTTTTTTTTGCAAAATTAATGTTCCTGGCCAATGTCATGATCATCCTGGTCTCCTACATACTCATCATTAGAGCCATCCTGAGGGTGAAGTCTCCTGGTGGGCGTGCCAAGACTTTCTCCACCTGCACCTCCCACCTCACCACTGTTGTCCTCTTCTTTGGGACACTTGCCTTCATGTACCAGAGAAGTAACTCAGATAAATCCCCAGAGGAGGACAAGATCGTGTCTGTCTTTTACACTGTGGTAATCCCTATGCTAAATCCCTTGATCTACAGTCTCCGAAACAAAGATGTAAAAGCTGCATTTAAAAAAATCACAGGTAAACTCCAGTTTCCAAGAGCTGTTGCTTTAGGTGAGGGTTCTTCATCCTGACCATTGTCCCCCCAGATATTAATACTCAGATGAGCATCAACACCATGTGGTGCTTGCTATGAACAGTAGGTGCTAGATGCGGACGGGAACCACCAGCTTTGTAGGG